ATGTGTAGGCTAACTTTCATATATAAATGTTATAAATAAAACTATAATTAATATATATCAAAAGGTAGTCTTGTGTCATTTACAAGAATAGAGGGGTGTTTGTTTGACATTTGAAAAATAGTTACCAATTATTAATTATAATTAAATATATTAAATATTTTAAATTATAAATATCAATAATTATTAATAATTAAATATCAACTATGTTAAAAAGTTAATGTAAATAGCCTACATTTTTTTTTTTTTTGAGAAAGAAGGTATTTGTTACAATTTTATAGACAAAAGATGACATTGTAAAAGAAGAGACACGTACCTACTCGTACAGTATCTAGTAATTTTATTTCCAGACATTAGACACACATTAGAAACAACAAAAACAATTTGTTTAGTCAGTTTGCTGCTTGAGCTTCCTGATAGAATTTTAGAAATTTTATTGGGTAGAGACAAATATATTAAAATTTACTTATCATCAATACCATGCAAAGTCATCCAAGCCAAAAGCAATTGTCAATTCCAGGTATGCAAAGTCATGAGTTTTTACATGAAAATTCCATTGCAAATTCACATGTCAAACATTGAGATATACCCACGAAAATTCCAGACATCTATAATGGAATTAAGAAGAAAAAAAGAAAAAAAAATGAAGAGAAAAGTCATGTGAAACGTAAGAAAAAAAAATGCATGGATTTTCTAACTATCCCTCCAGTGTTGCCCCTTCTGCCAAGATAATCTCCATAGATTTCATAACAAGGTTTAATTTAGAACAAGAAATTCTTTCATCTCTATTAATTAACTCATGCATCAGCAAGAAACCCATTTGCAGCAGTAGGCAATAGGGATGTACTGATACCATTTGACAGCATAAACTTCAGTGCAAAAGGGGACAATGCCACATATATTCCACGCTATAATTGCAAAAGTGAATGGCACCAACAGCACTAAATGACATGTTAGCTTCAATATTAAGAATTAGAAAAATAATTGGTATGCCTTTCAATTTAATACATTTAATAATATTTATCGATTCAATAATTAAAATTTATCTTTAAAAATTTTTTTATCTTAAATTTAAATTTTAAAATATTAATTTTTTAATGATTAAATCGATACATGTTGTTAAATATGTTAAATCGAAAAGTATACCAATAATTATCATAAAAATTAATATCATATCTTGACCAAACCTAATCTAAACTAAATTCATAACTTGGAACAAATCATACAGAGTCTTTATGATCACTTATCATCACCTAGGGTAAAATATTGACAAAGGAGAATAATGGGGTTGACGATGAACAGGTGATAGTGGTGGGACCAAAACAATTCATTTTTCTAGGGTTGTACAGCGAAAGCTGTCCTCTTCTTCATTCTCGCTTGGTACTTCATTGGCTGGGACTCAAATTAATGGCTCATACTTAATGATCTTTCTTCTTTTTTTTTTCACTAATTTTTTGAAATTTGATAATCATATTAGATATAAAATGATTTAGAATCGAACCGTATCGGATTTTATAAAAGAAAAAATTCTTTTAGTATCAATTTTTTTATTCATAAAATTTAAATTTAAAATTTTATTTAAAAAAAATCAAATTCTTTTTATTTGAATCAACATGTTTAATTGGTAATGACATCTCTCTTTGCTTAATCCAAATTGATAGATAGCAAGATAATGCCAAATCAGTTATTAGGTTAGCGTCAAGATAAGTACTTTTAGTTGAACGTCTTTTCACGCAGAACCTAATCAACTTAGAACCTCATCAAGATTTGTTTCTACTTTTCAAACTCCGTATCAAAAGTACAATCCTAATTCTTCTTTGTATTAGATGGTTTGGACATAATAGTGTTTTTATCATATAGATGTCCACATTATTCTTATGCATATACACATCCACGCATATAAAAATAAATTGGGAAAATAACTTTCAATGAGAAGAGTAAATATATATGTGTCCATGCGCATATGTATGTGGCTTATGCATCTTTTTTTTTTTGATTTTTTCCACACACATACACATGATATATTTATATATAAACACACATATATTTGACATTTATTGCCTCTTTCCCATTAATGGTTGGTTTTTATATAGTTTAATACAATTTAAATTACATAAAACATTTTTATATGTAAATATATGTATACATGTATATATAAATAACCTATATATGAATATGCACACACATATAGAGGAAATTGATGACCCAATTGGATCTTTAAAAAATTAAAAATATTTGAAACAACATAATATTTAAGACATGACTTTTCCAAAAAGAAAGAAAGAAAAGATCACCCCTAGTAATAGTTTGATCCAATTAGACATAAATCAAAATCCATAGTTGTGCAAAAAATACATGCATTTTTAGAAATAAAATGGACATCACCGATTAGTGATATACATTCAAAATTTAGAAACTTAATATTAGCCTGCTAAGTTGATCTACTTTTTTTTTTTTGTTTAATAAAATAAGAATGTAATAATTAATGAAAAAAATTATCCCTAACTAATATAATTTAAATAGAACTATTTATTTAAATATATAATGTAATTTTCTATTTAAAAGAAGGGTAAAATAAAAATAAAAACTTTAAATGACACATCTAATTTGAAAATAAAACAACAAATTTTAAATATCCTTAATTTAATAAAACGCTAATCACATCCCAATACCCAGATGTATCGTCAATAGAGATCATGTGAATGCCATAAATATATATATATATACACACACACAATACATTGCATCCACATTGTGTCTCATAGCATATTACATCCTTTGTCGTGCACACATAACATGTGTATACATACAGATACACACATAGATATATAAATTGAGTTTAGGCTTGAAGATTAACACCATTACCAAATTCATAATCACTACTAAGGGGTAAAGTAAAGATGGTTGATGGTGATCATGAGCAAGACCAGATGCTGCCCATTGCCAACGTGGGTCGGATCATGAAGCAAATCCTACCACCAAGAGCCAAGATTTCAAGACAAGCAAAGCAAACAATACAAGAATGTGCCACAGAGTTTGTAAGTTTTGTGACCGGTGAGGCTTCTGACAAGTGTCGCAAGGAGAATCGCAAGACTGTGAACGGAGATGACATCTGTTGGGCTCTGGGTACTCTAGGACTTGATGACTACGCTGAGGCTACCATGAGGTACTTACATAAATATAGAGAGGCAGAAAGGAAAAAAGCAAGTAACCAAAACAAAGGCACAACGAGTCAAGACAAAGATGATGAAGAATTAAAGGAAAATGACGGCCGAGTTCCTCGTTTAGAGGATAAAGAAGCTCAGAAAGACGATGCACGGAGCAAACAACTACCATAGAAAGAAAATGCCCTGAAAATGAGAATGTGCAGGTCGATGCATGTAGAGGAAGAAGATGATGATAAAAAGTTTCCTGTTCTCCTTTTATAGGTTTGATTGTATCTTCTTTTAGCAGTTTCTCATATCTTCCAGCTCTCTTCCTTTCCTTTCCTACATGCTTCATTTCCTTTTTCATTGTGTTGAGAGGAAAGGAATTTGTTATCTGATATAAACTAAAACATATTTACCTCTTTCTTAGACCTCTAGACTATAGTTTCTTGCATGACCATAATAATAATTGACAGGGAATTGAAAGATTTCTGTTCTTGGGTTGGAGTTTCTCAGGGTTCCCCTTGCATTCTTTGCAAAAAGACTGAAGATATGCCATCACTTTGTTTCAACATTTGTTTTGTGTGCTTGTAGCAGATTCTTTAATAATTTTCAATCAAGAATTTTATCTTTCATTTGCTGGTAAATTTTTTCAGAAAAAAACTGTAATTGAGTCTGATTTAGTATATATGCACATGATCAGTTCTTGAGATTTGGTTCACTTTAGATCACCTTTGTGTACAACTACAAAGACTATCATACCACTAATAACCTATTGATTCAAATGAAAGAAATTCAATTTCCTTTAAGGTGTTGAGTTCAAATTTTGTAAATTAAGAAACTAGTATTGGGAGAGTCTTCTTCTTATGAGGTCTGACCCGATAACTTTCGAATATTGAGAGTTAGAATAAAAAAAAAAATTGTCATATCATTCAGTAATCCATCAACATATGGTTTACAGACTTATCTCACTTCTTGGAGCTCTATCTTCAACCCTGCACCAACTTTGGCAGGAAGAGGAAACCCAAAAAAGATAAAAAAGAAATCTTAGTACATAGACGCTCAGCTTTATCTGCCCACCTAATTTAATCCCTTTCTTCCAAAACATAAGGTCAGGTTTTTACCAACAAGAACTTTGTTGAGTTGATACCCACTAATTTAAAAACCTTAATTTAGGATCAAGGTAGCCTAGGAAAAGTTAAGCAGCTAACCCTTCAATGTACCAAAAAAATAAGGTTAGGTTTTGATAACAGTTCATATGATATCAGTTTGTCTACCATCTCCCATACACAGGCAGCTGGCTTTCAATTCATTCAGGGAGAATTTCAGTTAAAAGATTTCAGACTTGGAAGAATACATACTCCATCTGGGCAACTGTTTTGGTAATGTACCAAATGCCTACATCCCAAGTAATTTTCCAGCACAAAAAATTAGTAAATGAAGGATAAAAGTACTAGGTTTAGGGTTCCCTAAACCCCAGATCCAGGGACCACTACAATACTGTAGTAGCACATTACATGAGTAGTCGTGAAACTCAAATTCAAATCTTCAAGCATGCTTGTTTTTTACTATGCAATGGATCAGGCAATCTTCTTTCCATAAAAGATGATTTGCTCTAGGCCTAATAATAAAATCAGAATATCTTTCAAGAATTAAGAGAACCAAACCTTGGTTTCTGTAAGATCTTAGGGGGACCACTTCTCAACTATAGTATGATGCTCTTTCTCTCTCCTTTTATTCTTTTTCCTTTTCCTTTATCTATCTTCCAAATATATGAACTATAGGGAGCACTTGAACACAAAAGAGATGGAACTGAATCTCCCACTGAAAAATGTTTCCATTATGAGCAAAGAAATAATACAGAAAAGAAGAGATAGTACAATAGACAAAAGCTGGAAAATTCAAACATTATGTACTAACCATAACAAATGCAGTACTAATTTCTTGTTTTTCTTCATATAATGACTTCCAAGTACCTCAAATTTTGAGTCTAATTGTACTAATACAGTAATATGCAGCGGTATTCTTGACGGTATGATTTGGTAAACCAAAGCTTTGGGACCAACCGTATCAATGCAGTATTACATGATGTTTTCTTGATAGAATGATTAAGGATTACTGTTGCTGCCATGAGCTCCGACCATGGAATTATGGCATTGAGCTTCATAACCTTATCAGCTTGCATCTCTTGTCAGCGAGCGACGACCAGCTCTTTGGCAATGGTGAATGCAATTAATTAATATAAAAGCTGAAATTTTACTACATCTGGTGCACCCATTTTCCATGACAAAAGGCAAGAAAATCATGAGTTGTCCATGTGAGCTTCAACAACTTAGCGTAAGCAAGTGCAACACTGTTGCAAATTGCAATGCATCCTGAGATATATTTCAAGAGCTACATTGATCTTAAATAAATTGCAAATCAACTAAAAATAAGATGGTCCTGGGAACTAATTAGATGCATGTCAATCAATATATAATATAACAATGTCGTAGTATGAATGTGTATAACATACAGTTTTTTTTGGATAACATGGATATCCAAGCCTTTAGCGACAAGTACCTACAAACCGCACTGTCCACAAGCACCAAGTAAAGCTCCACCTTCAAGGGTGGCAAGTGTGTCCCATTGGAATTATTTGTACCCAAATGAGAATAGAGGGACTCAAACCTGCATTCTCAGGCATAGTTCACATCCATCCTTACCACTTAAGGCATAACATACATTTGCTTTATGAATAACAGGGGCATATAATATGTTAACGACATAAGAGTTGTACATATATAGCATACTGTGAAACCAAAGTCGTCCCATTTTCTTAAAATAATACATGATTTAGACTTGAATCCCCTAAATATATTTAAGCGTATGAAACAAAACATGGAAACTATGCCCAACTTTTACCCATATTTCAACTCGAAAGAAGTCACCTAAGCTCACTTTTGCATTGTTCAACAAGATTATTTGATTGGCAGAGCAAAGGAAAGGACTTGCTGAATTTTCTTCCCTTTCCCCTAGCCTTGTTTGGCGTATAAAGATGTAGAAAATCTTATTAAAGTATTTCTACACATATTATCAATGGCTGATTTCTTAAATCATTTAACAAAATGTACATGATTGTTAATCAAATTGAGAAGAGTATATTGTAACAAAGGTTCCAGGATATGCTGATATAATTTGCTGATACACAATATAATCTACAGGATATGTTGACAAAGTTTGCATTTGTATTTTATGATGTTGAGTTCATACAGAGGAAAACCATAATATTTTGCACTGGTTACAAGAACCATTTGAATTAAAGCTTTCATCCCTGTATTATTTACTATTTTGAAGTTTTCTTCTTTTCCCTAATAAATTTTGTTTGTTTTGTTTCAAAAGGCTGATAATCCAAGACTATATCTCCATACAATATTTTAGATCTAAAATCAGAATCAGAACATGAATATAGTTGCCATAAAATTTGATTGATTCATTTTTGGTAATTAGCAAAAAAATTTTGTACTAAAATCAGGACTCAAATACAGTTGTGAAACAGAACTAAAAGGAAACAACTAACAAACAAAACTAACTTCATAAGCAATACTCAGGACTCTTTCTTAGATGGTATTGGGATTTGATGAACAAAAGGGCCCATAAAGAACTCCAACAGGCTCAAGGAGTTCTACACCAGCTCAACTAAGGAGGTAAAACCCAACTCTTAAAAGCAAAAGCTTGCCAATAGACTCAAACCAATGGCAAGCTCTAACCTAAGTCCAACCAAGTCATTCTCCTTCTGCATGATACCTAGTTTTATTTTCAAAATATGCCCTCTTTACAAAGCTCATTCCTAGCTAATTCACTGGTTAAAGATGACATTGAGTTATATGCAGAATAAACTATGGAGTATTAATGCTATTAAAAATAATAGCAGTTCTCTATCTGAAAATGAAAAGAAAATGTTGTAAGAACTCATAAGGAGAAAAAGAGAGGAGCAGCCATACAGTAAGAGTTCACAAATATGTACCACCTCAAGACATCTTGAAAGGGCAAAGAGCTTTTATGCCACAGAATCATTTTCCTATCCCTCATGAAGGAAGGTCAAGGAAGCATCTCATTTATCTGATAAACTGATTTTTTCCACACCTTTCACATTCAATATTCTCTAGAAAGACTGGGAATAAAATAAAAGCCACTGAGCATTATTGCATTTGAAAATTTAAGTAATTTGATCAAGAAAAGCTTCTATGAATCCCCAGCCATCATCAATATCTGGTCCTACCCAATAACCAGTTATTATCATATGGGTCCAAGAACTTACATCCAAACAATAAGTAAAATTTCACCTAATTGCATTGATGTTGCAGTTAAACAACGATGATGGCTCCAATTGACAGAAAATATCTCTGTATTTATGCTGTCAAGTGCAAGAAGGTTGGATACTGCACATAAAAATTAATACTGTTAGAATACACAAGCAAGTGAAAACAAAAGAAGAAAAATGTTATTGTATAATTCAGCTTAACAAGGCACAAAAGATTAATAATATCTACCTTGAGATTTTTATTTTATTTTCTTCTGAAACATAAACATCTTTGCAAAACAAAATAGAATGTAAGCAATGTTTTCTACAATCACTTTTAATGGAAGTTTCTTGAGAAAAAGGGGGAAAAGAAGAGAAAGAGAAATAACCTGTTTTTCTGGGTGCTAGGCTTGGAATTCTACAAAAAGCTGATCTTTTTGAATGTCTTCCCTGGAAATAAGTTCAAATACAGCATCAAACCTAAACATCAAACACTAATTATCAATTAACACAGCATCCAAATAAAAAAAATACGCTTTTAATGTAATCTTTCAGGAAAAAATTATAAAATTACTAAGAGTTTGGAGTTACTCTGAGAATTTTTGCTCAGCAATATTTTCTCAGGACTCAGGAGGTAAGGGAGAGAATTTGAAGAAGAAATGGGTTTAGGGTTTTGGAGGAAAGCTCACCTTAATCAGGTTCTGTGGGACGCAGGAAGGAACGGAGAAGCTTGAGGACACCGAGCCCGCCATTGCAGCCACAGTTGAAGCACGGAGCAGTTCTGGGTTTCACATTTTACAAGAAGAAGAAAATAATTACTAATGTGTATTTAAGCTGCAGGTCCATACGACACCGTTTATTTGGATGAACAAAATAACCTGTCGTTCTTAAAATTATTAAAATATTTGTAATAAAACATTTTTTATATTTATTTATTAGTGATAATTTAATAATTTTAATTTCTGAAAGTATAGTTCAAATTAGTAAAAAATATGAATTTCTTATCTTATTTTATTTATTTTTCTTCTTTCTTAAAAAAAGAATTTTTTTTAATTCTTTATTTTATCATTTGAATTATATTAAATTGTAAAATAAAAGCATTACTAAAATTCTTAACAAACGTTACCAATTAACTA